CCCTCACATTAAAAAAGGGAGGAACAGAGAAGGAGAACAGGTGGAAAAACCTCTTGAAATCAGTGGAATATATCATGGCAAAAGGGAATGCTTGGAGAATAATTCACAAGAGGTGGTGGTGTGCCAGCTATAATCCTTCACAAATGTCTGTCATCTTATTCCACTAAAAGAAGCAAAAGAGCTTAAAAGACAGCAGTATTTTTTTCAGAGTGCCCAGACACTGATAAAAATGCCACACCTTCCTACAGGAGGTTAATTGTTCTTTATGCAGTCCTGTATGTAAACACTATGCAAAAAAGCTTATCAGATTGGCCTCTGTATGCAAATCCTGCACAGCCAGATTGTGGCTTTCATCCTCATCTTCAGTGGAAGTGCTTTTAAGAAGATGTTTCATCTTGAATAGTGCCAAAACATCAGTCTGATCAGCCTTGACCTGGACAAGTTACAGGGAAGCTTACTAGTGAAGGAAGGACCTCACTGCAAAGCTTCAATCCATGGCAACCCTGGACTGTGTTATGGCATGTTAGACAGAAATTCCTCTGGTCTCCTCCGCACTGGTCAAAGCACAGCTGAAGATCATCTAAAAAGGGAGAAATCAGACTGCTGGTAGATGTAAAATTCATAGTTGGGGAGGAGAGACTGAATCACAGGGCGAGAGGAAGGTGAAGACTGGTAGCATTTGGATTTGAAAAAAAAAAAAAAGGCTGCTGCAAAACCAGTGGGAACAAACGGTTCCCATCCATCCATCCATCCATCCACTAAGAGCAGAAGGAAAAGCAGCTTTGAAGGTTGTGTCATTTGCGCAAGTATTAGATGATTTAATTATGGGCTTACATTTTTGGAAAATATTTGTTTTCTCCTTTAGGTTCTTCCTGGAATAATCTCTTTGAACTAATGAGACATTTAAGCTAAACATTAGGAAGCATTTTGTAATGACGACGATGACTGCATCCCGTCACACATCGCTACGAAGGTTAGGCGAGTCAGCAAACGTCTGCTGGGAGCGCTCTGGGCATCACCGAGGCTGGGTATGACCTCGGCAAGCCCCAGTCAATCCTGTTTCCGATCACTCTGGCAAGTCTGAAGATTTACCTTCACCCTGAAGGTAATCAGTCAGTCGTGATTTTGACCTACAGTTTAATGTGCTCTCTTGCTATAGTTACAGACACCCTCCTTCTGGTTATGCTCCCTGCTGTGACTAATGGGATCTTTACAGTCAAAGAGGTGTTTTTTAAAGAAAAAAATGCAAGTTTCAGTGCTGTTACAAAGTTCACAGCTTTAGCAAAAACAGTAGTGTAGCAGTCGTTACTGCGGCCTATGAACTTGACGTTTTTCAGGTGGAAATGTCTGTGTATATTTTTATACACCTTTCTCAAATCCCCTAAATACACAGGAAGCAAGAATTTTCTTGTTACTGTTTATGCAACTGATCATCAGTTTGAGTGTTCACTATTCACAGTGAAGTATGTTTAAAGTTTACTTCACACATAAAATATTCTTAATTGGCCAAAGTTTTTTGAAAACTGGATTGTTTTGCACAAATGCAAACAAAAATGGAAATGAGTTTGCAAAGAATCAGGAACTAAATACCATACACAAGATACCGAGAAACAAAACAAGCTTTTCAAATACAATTATTCCAGTCTGTTTTTCTGGAAGATGTTTAAGGGTGATAGGAGGTGATTGAAGGTAGTTCTCCAAACTGAAGAACAGTTTTTAGATTAAGTGATGAGAGATTTAGATGAAAGTGATGAGTTTCACTTTAAAGAAATTAAACTAATTTTGTGTGTGTGTCTGTGCAGATGCTGAAGGAAAATAAAAATTTGGGAAAATGCTGCATTTGTTTAAATCTCCTTCCCTTGTTTGCACTTTCTAAATAGGTTCCCTGTACCTGTTCACCTCTGAGGCAAATTAAATTCAAGGGCAGCAGATCACAATAGCTAATGCTACTTGACCAAAATTTCTACTGTGTGGCAAGAAAATAATCAGAAAGTAGCTAGAGTTTTGCTTTGTTTTGCTAGGAAAGACTGCAGATGTCATCTGGATGCTAATTGGAGTCATTGTACAATCTTGTTAGATGCCCTGTTCTCATTCAATATTGTGGCAGGTAACACAGTACCTGTGTTCTTCAAGAAAGGATCAATGACACAAAGGTAGTTTTCTGCTGCAGGGAGAAAACAGACAATTAGAAAATCGCTATTTGCATTCCATCTCTGTTTACACTGCTTGACCACATCTCTTGCAAACACGCTTTTCTCTCTAGCTTCAGAAATACACAAATATATCAGCACCAGAAGTCTCCTCTCGTTTTACTTTGCAATTCAGGAATGCTTTATTAATCAACGGAAGATGCATTCATTGAACTGGATTAA